ATGTGGCCTTCCAATAACCGTTTCGATTCCTAACATCACTGAAGAGACATTAATTGTCGAAATCCGGATATGGTGTACAAAAAATCTTTGCACCTTTGTTTTGCGGTATACCATCTTTGCCGCAAGTTTATTGTTTTCTGTTTGGTATTAAATTTATAGTTAAGATCCATTTATTACGCCTTGTGATCCGTTTATTTGGCAATCGCCAATGGCAGTCAGAAGGATTTAAGAACATTTGCTGTTCGACCTGTTAGTCAAATGCGTTTTGTTAAAATATACTTTTTTCACTTTTTTGGTCTTTTGGAAAATGTTGTTTGTGCTGTATTTAGACCCCTCTAACAAGAAATTTGTTTTGCATGCACACGTATAAAAATTGCGGTTTTTATCCAACGCAATCATAGGTTTGAACGTTGTTTTCAATTTAGACTTGTATATATATTAAGAACATCAGTTGTTCGACCTGCTAGTCAAATGCGTTTTGTTAAAATATACTTTTTCACTCATTTTGGTCTTTTGGAAAATGTTGTTTGTGCTGTATTTAGACCACTCTACCAAGAAATTTGTTTTGCATGCACACGTATAAAAATTGCGGTTTTTATCCAACGCAATCATAGGTTTGAACGTTGTTTTCAATTTAGACTTGTTTATATTTTTTCGTTTGGGCTTGTATTATATTTGCCTTTGGGTTTATATGATCCGTTCATCCTATTTTGACTCTTTCAAAATTCAAGAGTCTATCCTAAATTGAGGTAAATTATATGGCCTTCCAAATACCGTTTCGTTTCCTAACATCACTGAAGAGACATTAATTGTCGAAATCCGGATATGGTGTACAATTTTTGCACCTCATGTTTGCGGTATACCATCTTTGCCGCAAGTTTATTGTTTTCTGTTTGATAATAATTTAATAATAAGATCTATTTTATTACATCTTGTGATCCGTTTATTTGGCAATCGCCAATGGCAGTCAGCAGGGTTTAAGAACATTTGTTGTTCGACCTGCTAGTCAAATGCGTTTTGTTAAAATATACTTTTTCACTCATTTTGGTCTTTTGGAAAATGTTGTTTGTGCTGTATTTAGACCCCTCTACCAAGAAATTTGTTTTGCATGCACACGTATAAAAATTGTGTAAAATGACTGGATATTCAGACAATTTATAAAATGCCTAACCTTGACAGGCATTATATAAAATGACTAAAAATACCTAGTCATTTTGTAAAATGACTGAAATTTTTAAACATAATTCAACCAATTGCCTTTTCAGTTTCAGGTAATTTGTTGAATAAAAAGGATAATTATCACCAAGATGCATATGACCAAAACACAAATCTTGCAAGGAAAATAACAAATGGTTCGATAAAATTGAGTTACTTCTTTAAAAAAAAATTGGCCAGAACTTGTATTCGTTTTAGCAAAACTACGTTAAGTATGTACAAGTGACTCTGTATATCAGATAGTAATTATAGCACCCTAAACGGGGTTGGGGTGACATATTGTTATTCTACGTTTCTGTTTTTCCTTATCATTATTTTTTTTTCAAATTTTTATGTCCCCGCTAGTTCTCGGATTTGAATGGTTAAATATTGGTGGAACTATACTTTTATGAGAATTATGGCACCCTCAACGGAGTTGGGTGACATTTGTTATTCTACATTTCTTTTTTCTTCCACTTTTTTTGTCCCCGCTAGTTCTCGGATTTGAATGGTTCAATGTTGATGGTACTATACTATTATGGGGACCCCCGTGTGAAGTTGATCCTCTGACTTTGGAATGGTTCAAGATGGCCACCGTTTCCATGCAAGAAAAAAAAATCTAAATTCTAAATCTTTTATTATCAGACCTAACTGGATGGAATTTTATGGAAATGTTACCTGGTATGCCTAAATGTGCAGTATTTAGAAAATCCAAAAATGGCAGGCATTGTCATTGAAACACGGGGAAAGTTTAACATTGACCCTATAAGAAATACATTAAAGTTGCATTTTCTTAAAGAATATAACATCAAACTCAATAAAACTATATGGATATGTAACATGGCATGTTCCAATGTGGCATTTGTCTTTGGAATTTTGGAAATGGTAACCGTTACCATGGAAACAGCAAAAATTTCAAAAATTTCAAAATGCTCCAAACTTATTGAAACTTTACAAAAATGTAAATTGGCATGTGTAGATGTGCTGTTTGACTTTGAAATTTTCAAACTGGCTGCCGTTTCCCTGGCAATTGGGGGACGAGGGTGCTATCCACTATTGCTCACAATTGCAAGCAAATCTATAGTTTTGTTATCTTTTTGTCATGAAGAGACAAATAAAGGTGCATCGACAGGGGAAGCGTCTCCTGCTATGGATGCATCAGCCGGCATGTGTATATCTGCTTCAGGCTGTTAAATGTTCTGATAAGGAAAATTATATCAGTCAACCATGTCCTGCTAATGTGACTTTGAATCTGTTGAAAACACATAAAATATAAGATATTCATGTGTGTGCTTTTAGCAAAACCCAATGTTGGTTGAACGACAGTGTTTTATCAGAAAAAATATTGACAAAGCTGAATGTGTAAATGGCACAGATTTCACCAAAAGTGGTTGTGCTTAGCCAAACGATGCATTTGCAAAAAATTCAGGACGAATGTGTAACTGCTCCTGCCATCAAAACATTACTTAGAATACAAAAAATAATTGTCGAGTGCGGTGCTTGTGGAAATCTTTAAGTGATTCAGTAGAATTTATTTTTAATTATTAAATCTCTTAATATGCAAGCTTAAAAATTCCGTTATTATGAGTGACATAGATAAAATTGCTCGAAAAAATAATTTCATGCATTTTGTAAAATGTCTTTAGATTTTTCATAGGCATTTTGTACAATGCCTGAAAAAATTAGTCAATATATAAAATGCCTGCTTCTTAAAGACATTTTACAAAATGCCTAAATTTAGAAAATGCCTCTAACATATATATATGTGTAGGACTCTGACTCGCGATGGTACTCCGAACCGCGATGGTCACGCTGAAGTGCGATGATTTGACGCTGAAGTGTGTTTTTGATCACGCTGAAGTGCGATGGTGGCATTGTGACACTATCTTGTTGATAGCTATACGCCAAAGTGCGTTGGTGGTAACGCTGAATTTCGATGGACTACATAAATTATATTTTCAAAGTTTTTAATGCCCACATTTCGATGAAGAAATAAATTTGTTTGTTAAAAGCAGTTTTTCCCCCGATTTGTAAGTATATCATCGAGAGTTTATAACCAGTTTATTTTGAAACAATGATGATAAATCGGAAAAAATAAGTCAACGTTCGTATACAATCGTTCTGAAATCGTCAACAATAGACGCTGCATGCAAAGGTTATTTTTCATTAAAACCAGTACTCAATTCAATGACTGAAAAACGTAGTTGTTTGAAAAGCAAATACAGAAGAAAACAACATATTAAGCAACAAATCTAATCGAATTTCAAAGTCCAGTCGCAAATATTTAATCCATATTCAACTTGGGAATAAGTAAATAAGGGGCTTAGAAACTCATACTTCCAGAAAAGGGGAGTGATTAGTAGAACGGGGAAAAATTACCTTTCTGTAGAGGGTCCGTTTGTTTCCGAAATCTACAGAAGATTTTTTTTTACCTACGATGAAGCGTGGTATTCTCTAAATAAATACATATGGATCCGCAGACATACTCTCCGTATTATAATATTACGATAAACGTGGAACTCATAAGAGGAAGTATGTAAAGATAAACTGTAAACGCAGAATTGAGTTCACATGCAGATGTGCAATCTCTTATTTAGTATAAAACTGTAACTAAGGACATATAGACCATCGCACATCGGCGAAGAACATCGCACTTCAGCATGACTATCGCATTTCAGAATTCCACTCGCACCTCCGAACCCGTTTATTTCTTGCTCTCGTTCTCAGTAGACGAATAGATTTTGATTTTCGCTTATTTTGTACCGTTCAGGCTCATTACGTAGTATTTGCATTACAAACAACTATCACGTTTTTCAGTTATTGCAATTATCACTGTTTTAAGAGTCTTTTAATGGAAATTAACCGTTGTTAGTAGCGTCTATAGCAACTTTGGTCAATTTCTGAATTATTGTATGAACGACTGCTTATTTTTGTTGAAGCTTTTAAAGCTGTGTACAAAATTAGGACTTGAAATACAAAGACTATTTATCACGACTGTTTTAAATGAAACGGGTAATGATCTCGATGATTTACTTAAAAAAACTGAAAAGCTACTTCTTAAAAAAATTGACTCGTTCATGATAACATGAAAAACAATGAAAGTATAACGTATGTACTCGTTTTCACTTCAACTTTACCATAAACGCATTTCGGCGTAGCTATCAACAAAATAACGTTACAATGCCATCGAAAAACACAAGTTCAGCGTCAAACCATCGCACTTCAGCGTGACCATAGCGGTTCGGAGTACCATCGCACTTCAGCGTGACCATAGCGGTTCGGAGTACCATCGCACTTCAGCGTGACCATAGCGGTTCGGAGTACCATCGCACTTCAGCGTGACCATAGCGGTTCGGAGTACCATCGCACTTCAGCGTGACCATAGCGGTTCGGAGTACCATCGCAGTTCAGAGTCCTACATATATCTGTATAAAATGGAAAAAAAATAATGTGATACTCTTAAAAAGCAGCTCACCGTCACGAAGTATATTTTAAATATAATATTTTTTTATCATTATTGGCCATCTTGGTCCTCTAATTTTTGAATTTTGTTAGTGGTCATTAGGGAAATTGTCTATAAGGGTTTTTCTCAAAGTTGTTATTCAAAATCACACAAGTATGATTACTTTGCTAAAGCATGTGCATTCGGTATTTAATTGAAGTAGACAATAATATTAAATTGATAAGCTAAGACATTGACGAGAAATAAAAAAATATTCGTGACCCTTTTTTTTTTAATTCTGTGTTAGTTACATTTTTGTACTTTGATACTGTTCTGATAGAAGGTCACATCCGGTACATACTTACGCCACCTGGAGGCCAAACAAACGTTCATAAGCATTATCTTGAATGCTCACAGCATCTAAGCACACGATTTCTCCAAGGAAAACATAAATTGATACTAAAAGCAGTTGATATTGAAAGATGGAATACGGTTGAATGTTCGTACAATTGACTGGAATGGGTCTGTTTACTCAGAGTCCGCTTTTGTTAACAGACAATTCATTTCTAGTGACCGGCTCATAACCATTCCAGTGATTCTTTGAAGTCTTTCAACTGTTCAACATTGATTTCCATTTTTCGATTTTTAATATTGAAGTGGCGTTACTGTTAGTCTAATCTGTCATGAAAATGCACTGCACCACATTCATTTTTGGAGTTATTTTATTTAAAGTTTCTTGCGGAATACAACATTACACAGATCAGTGGGCCATTCATTTGACAGGGGGTGAGAGAGCTGCAAAAGATCTTGCTCTAAGACATGGCTTTGCTTATGTTTCTGAGGTGAGTTAGGTTCAAATAGACTCATTATAATGAGTCTGTGAACTTGTATATTATATAAATGTGTTGTATTAAAAATGTACTGTAGATGTTTTGTGTTCTGTATTTTTTTTACATTTGCTCTTTTTATTCAGTTTACTAAAAGTTGAAATGTGTATGCTTTCAATTAATTTTGGAGTAACAAGTAAAATTTTATTACTTTTAGTAAATTATTAGAAAAGTCATCATGGTCATGATGGTTAATGGAAACTATGAGCTGTTAATAAATGTTATTTTTTTGTAACTGCTTAATTTGTTCATTTACATAATTAATTGTACAATAACAACTATGGGCAAGTACAAAAATGTAATACTCGTTTAATTTAACTATGTGCAGTCTTCACGCTGAACCACAGGCCCAGCAGCCCAGGCTTGTAAAATTCCTTTCGGGCCTGTAAAAATCATCTGCACAGGTCAACAGAGTCTAACTAAAATTTTCCAAAATTTGAGCTCCGGGCCTGTAGATTAAAAAGTTTATCGTGAAGACTGTATGTGCAAAATTTATTAAAGGATGCAGTATATTCCAAATTATTTTACCATATAATATAATTTTCAATATAAGATTTTCCATTAATAAATCAGATCTACATGTATTTTTTTATACGGCATATTTTAGAAATATGTATTTTTTCCTGTTTTTGTTCCTTTTACTTTTAGTATTTTAATTAAATATAAGAATTAATTTTCTTCATAAGAATGGATTGGATTTCTAAATTGTTCAGACTTATTGTCAATGCTTTTAGATATTTGTACAGTTGTACACACACTTTCTAATTGAATGATGTAAGAATACTACAAACATTTGTACATGTTATAAATATATACATATTACTAAATAATTTATTGTATACATTTTACTTGTATACATTGTACATAAAATGCATACATGTTTTACCTTATCATTGGAAATTATTAAAGAAATATATGCAAATGTGTGGAAAGTAAAAAAAATAATTTAATTGATATAAAACTAATAGCCAAATGGAATAAATAAAGTGAGATTTAAAAAAATAATATTTGTACATTCTTTTTATGTCATTTTTAACTGACATGCATGTGTATTGTATAAGAGATGATTACATGAATACCATCAGAAATGAACACATAAATGTTTACTCTAAGGATTTTGATGATAAAGCTGAGAATCACATTTCTATGTTTATGTTTCTATCTGAAGCAGCTTTGATCAAGAATATTGTCTGTTTGGAACCTTTCTTATTTCTATGGAAACCAATTCCAAGATAAGGAAAGATATATGTGATGCATATTTTCAAAACTTTATTAAGAATCGAAAGCTTGGAGAATTTAGTCTGAAGGAATTTTTTAATTAATCACAAGATTCATGATCAGTTTTGATGTACATTTAACAATGTGATAATATTCACAGTAAATTACATTGAACATAATGCTACATTTGTATGTGTGTATTAGTATAATACTTCCATGATAAAACCAATAAATCCTGTTCCCCTAAAATATAGAAAATACATGAGATTGAAATGTACATGTACATTGTACTTGTGGAGAACTGCAAACAATTTTGACTAAACTAATTATCATACAAATGTATATATGTTATATGAAATGAAATATGAAGATTACAAATGACTTGTATTTTTCCTCAATTATAAGAAGAACTATTTAATTTTATCAAGGTGGTTATATTATAATATATTTTAACCTCCTTGATTGGATTCACAAATTTTGGTAAATCATTACAATGTTTACATGTACTTTAATATATATTAACATTGTCTGGACAAACCACAAAATTTGCAGAAGTATATATATATACATGTGTATATGTACATGTATATTGAAAGGAAAAAAAGTATAACTTCATTAATAGTCCCTGAACATTACATTTTTGTATGTCAGTCTATTCTCTTCAGTTTATTTTCGCATTTTGCACCTCCTGTAGTCCATACCACTTCATATGCATGTCCATGTACAAAAATGTACATGCAGCTTTTGTTACCTCAACGACCTTAATCTGGAGTCTTAATGTTATTTCACATGTAACAATCTTAAACCAAAAGTTGCTTTCTATTTTGATATTTTTTACAAAAATGTATTGATGTTCAAGGGTTACAGAACTTCTGTGTGAATAAATCCTGTGTAATTCATATTAATTTCATGAAGTTTTTAGGAAGAATATGATGATTTGTGTTAGTACATGTACTATACTTAAAGTTAATTATTCACCTTTTACATTTTTATTTTGTTGTTCCTGGACTTAGAAACTTTATAGACTAAACACTTAGTTTGACAATTCATATACATGTATTAACTCAAGTTTGCTTTGAACAACCAAATCTCATGAAATTATTGCACAATTTAAACTTTGAGTACCAATAATTTGAGTTCTATTTTGTTGATTGTCCGTTTTGTCATTCTTTGTTTGGAGGAAGTTACATGTTTGTGTTTTGACTGAATCTCCTCATATGTTAAGACCTTGGTAACCCCAGCTACATGTAGGTCAAACCATTGAAATTAAAATCCTTTTTTGCTGCTTCTGAATCTATCCAAAGCACACACTGAATTTAGTTGTAAGAGCAAGGAATAGGTGGCTGGAAGTCAGAATAACGTGTTTGGATACTATAGTATGGCATGTACATTTGTATTTCTGCAGAGTGTTACATTATGAGCTAGCATGTTAAAAATTTTGACTCAGCATGTAGGCTTAGTGTATGTACACAGCAGGAATCTCATTCATACATTTATCATATCAACATTTCATTAATCATCCTGAATATACATGTACATTTTGTACATGTATATGTAATATTTGCCACAGTACATTGAGCAGCCTTCAATTAAAAAATTTCTGCACAATATTAACTTTGAAAAATTTGATTATATTCATTGTAATTACATGTATCTTTTCCACATTTATTTATAATGATAACTCAAGAATGTAAAATAAGATGTGATATGAATAATGATTGCTGATGAGGCAAATTATCCACCAGAGACCAAAGGATGTAAACACAAATTTTGCTCCATTACTATTTTAACAATGGTTAGTAAAGATGTACATGTAGTGCAAGTAATATGAAGTTATGTCTTTCAAGGAAGTTATGCGAGTCAATGTTTAGTTTGTTAAATCGCTTGAAATTATCTGAAAATCAGTTGGTTAATAGAATTCTCAGAAGTGATTTATTGTATTCTTCAACATTGTTAAGAGTATGGTACAATGAGTAATATCTGAATTTTTAATTATAGTTAATACTGTAAATTTTTTAACATTGTATTCTGTTTAAACAGAATATTTTGTTTAATGTATGTACATGTATATATATCATGTATATAATTACTCTAAATATCAGCACAACAATGTTAAATCCTCCGCAAATTTTTGTTCTTCCCTAGCCATTCGAATTCAATTCATGCTATTGGGTAATCGAGACAACACCGCCTGCACCCTGTCCAGCACTCTAGACCACTCTAGACTGAACTGAATATATATATATGGACCTTTTGAGTCTGAAATAAAGATTATCTTATCTTATCTTAGTGTTACTGTGTATATTGACATATTCCCACTTTTCCAGAGTAAGAGATAGATGTCCAATAAAACATACATGGTAGCAAGGGAAAGTACTTTGAAATCTGAACTATGGATCATTGTCAAGTTTAGGGAAATTGTTTTTATTTGCCTCCATAGATGGTAACCCAAATTTTGAAAGTGCCTTCCCTGGGTACCATGTACAAAAACATGCTTAAATGAAGCATCTTTAAGGGGAAAGGACATTTTTTTTCTTCAGTTTTATAACATAACTTGTGCATTTTTATCTATTTAGTATTACAGACCAGTGTAGTTCAAGAAAGGTTACTTTAAGCGAGTTGAAGTCTTGCTAATTTACGAATTTTAAGCACAAATTCTGCTAGCTGAGTCTAAGCTGACTGACAAACTTTGCTTTTTTGATTTCTGCAATTTTCATTGTTACGGGAGATATGATAATTTTTTCTGGCTTTATTTAGTGGACTGTGGTCTTATCTTGTCTCCATTATCTGTTACCAGTAATTATATAATGAGATGAAACTTATTTAAAATGTAGGTATTTTCACATTTACACCAAGATGTCGTTAAAAAAAATTGGATGCCTGCATTTATCATGCTTTTCAATAGCATATGGTCAAATCTCTGAAAGACCCCCTCCTAAATTATGGAAAACTGTCATTCTGCATTGACAATAATATCTTGGTGTAAATTAGATACACCCAATGGGCTAACACCCTCATAGGTGTATCTAATACTAACAAATGTATCTATAAATATGCTATTTATTTTGAAATTACCACCTCATAAAATTCACAGGTGTTAAATCCATATATACATTGTATATGCATGTGTGGTCTACAATGTAATGTATAGATGACTTGACAGTGACAAATTACTAACAAAGAAAAACTAGGAAAAAAATAGTCAACTGCTTGCACTTTCCACATTTCAAATTCTTTTAAAGAACAAAATTTAATGGTACATTTAAATGTACAAACATGTTTGTGTTTATGTAAATTATAATGTTTACCTAGGCAATACATAATACATGTATCTCATGACACAAAGGTCATACAATGTATAATAATATTATGGTCTGACATATTTTAGTATTAATCTTTGATTAGATGAACCAGGAGTATACATTTTGATATTTAATCTACATTTTTACCATGTTTACTGGGGTACATTTCATGGTCAACAGATTCTTCCAAGTAGTAGAGTTCTGCAAAGTGCACACTTCACAAACCCTTATTTGAAATTAAATAGTTTAAAATGTAACTAAGTAACTACTGAAAACCATCAACCCTGCATAAACTTATTTCTAGTAAGATCAGTTAATTTATAATTTCTTATCCATAGTTTTCTGTTTGGTGTGGTTAAAAAGGAGAGATGCCACTAAGTCTACAAGAGTGTCTCAACCCATTGATATAGTTAAATACATACATGTACATGTATATATATAAATAAATAATGAATGAAATGTATAGTTAAGAATGTTCATTCAAAGTAAATACATTTGTTTATAATTTTAATGAATATTCATGTTACTTCCATATTATGATAATGATACAACTGTTTTTGAATATGGAACATTTGTAATATGTACTTTGAATTCAGTAGTGTGTGCTGCAATTTGATTGTTGGCCAAATTGAAAATAACGAAATTGCCTTTTGCAGTTTTTTGTTCATTTATGTGTAAAATATATATATATATGTAATGCACAAATTTAAATCATGAATAAATAAAGATAAGTCTTCTGTCATTATAATACAACAATAAAATTGAGAATGGAAATGGGGAATGTGTCAAAGAGACAACAACCCGACCATAGAGCAGACAACAGCCGAAGGCCACCAATGGGTCTTCAATGCATCGAGAAACGCCCGCACCCAGAGGCGTCCTTCAGCTGGCCCCTAAACAAATATGTATACTAGTTCAGTGATAATGGACGTCATACTAAACTCCAAATTATACACAAGAAACTAAAATTAAAAATGATACAAGACTAACAAAGGCCAGAGGCTCCTGACTTGGGACAGGCGCCAAAAATGCGGCGGGGTTAAACATGTTTTTTGAGATCTCAACCCTCCCCCTATACCTCTAGCCAATGTCAAAAAAACAAACGCATAACAGTACGCACAGTAAAACTCAGTTTAAGAGAAGTCCTAGTCAGATGTCAGAATAGGAAACAAAAGAAAATAAACAAAATGACAATAATACATAAATAACAACAGACTACTAGCAGTAGTATTTAAATTTGGAGGGATCAATTAACCGTGTTATTTTTTTATGTCCCCACTGTGGCGGAGGGGGCATTAAGTTTTACCCTTGTCCGTCCGTACAAACTTATTTCCTGCTACATTTTGTATATATATGTATCTATGAATTGATCTTTATTATTTATTTTTTTAGTGGCTCTTTTGTAAATGATGGTCTCCAATTGTTTTGGATATCCATGTTATTTTTTTGTATGAAATAAATTATAATTTAACCGAAGTTACAAAACATTCTTACTAAACACTAAATATGGCTAATATATTTTATTATAATAGGAGTAATTACAAGATATAAATAAACAAATTTCTCATGTTCAGTACCAAGACAAAAAAAATAATGTTAAAAGCTTTTTGTAAGCAAGTCTGACAGTTCAATTTTTCTCTGACAAATGTTGGTCCCTTTGTCCTAAGATGAAAACATTAATACAGACACTGAACAATTGTAGCCTTCCCAGGAATCAATTTTGTTATAGCCAGATGTTGGCATATAAATTATCGATTACTCTGTTAGTCTTTGTGTAATTTGATTTGTGATATGGAAATAAGGGGAAAATATATTGGTTACAGTATTTGACAGCATTTTATACAGGATAGTTGGTACATTTATAGTATTGATTGGAGAAAATGCTGATTCTACAATTCTACACACAAATTTAAATACTCTTGGAGGAATCAATTCACCGTGTTATATTTTTATGTCCCCGCTGTGGCGGAGGGGGCATTAAGTTTTACCCTTGTCCGTCCATACGTACATACATTCGTACATCTGTCCGTACGTCCCAAAGTTAGTTTCCGTTCTCCAACTTTAATTTGCCTCAACCAAATGTTATCAAACTTATACACAATGCTTATTACCACAAAACACAGATCAAGTTTGAATTTTGGTGGCGTCATTTAAACCATTGTAGAGTTATGCCCCTTTACAAATGGAAAAATTGCTGAATTTTTCGTTTCCCTTCTGTAATTTAAGTTTGCCTCAACCAAATGTTATGAAACTTATACACAATGCTTATTACCAAAAAACACAGATCAAGTTCGAATTTTGGTGGCGTCACTTTTACTGTTCTAGAGTTATGCCCCTTTACAAATGGAAAAATTGCTAAATTATTCGTTTCCATTCTATAACTTTAGTTTACCTCAACCAAATGTTATGAAACTTATACACAATGCTTATTACCACAAAACTCAGATCAAGTTTGAATTTTGGTGGCGTCACTTTTACTGTTCTAGAGTTATGCCCCTTTACAAAAGGAAAAATTTCTGAATTTTTTGTTTCCATTCTCCAACTTTAGTTTGCTTCAACCAAATGTTATGAAACTTAAACACAATGCTTATTACCACAAAACACAGATCAAGTTTGATTTTTGTTGGTGTCACCTATACTGTTCTAGAGTTATACCCATTTATAAATGGAAAAATTGCTGGATTTTTTGTTCCCGTTCTCTAACTTAAGTTTGCCTCAACTAAATGTTATGAAACATATACACAATACTTATTACCACAAAATCAGATCAAGTACAAATTTAGGTAGCATCACTTTTACAGTTCCTGAGTTATGTCCCTTTACAGCTTTATATGCAAGCAGGGGCATCATCTGTGTCCCATGGACACATTCCCCATTTATTTATTTAAAGTATAAAGGTTCATAGGTATAGTGTAATATTACAAGAAAATAAGTGATTTTTTTTGGGATGCTGTAATTGTCTCTCCTGTTTCGATGGCATTATTGTCATCATCAACATGCTACAGTTATCTTTAATTTTCAAATACAACTTTGTTATTTGTTATACAATTGCATCAGTATCCATGCTTCCATGCATGCAATTGCGTATGAGTATTAATTTACAGGTAACAAGACTGTTAATTTTTTTGGTAAGAAAAGTTTAAAAAGATGGACTGAAGAAATTAATTTAAACATTACGAAACCTATTCTATAAATCTTAATAAATATGTTTTCTCTTTTTACAGATAATGCCAGACTACTATGTTTTCCAACACAGAAAAGTTGCCAAACGATCAGTGTATTCCAGTTCTTCCTACCATAGAACCCTAGCACAAGAATCAAATGTAAGTTCTCAGATTTGTTCTTTTTTGATGGAATAAAAGGTGGACTGTCGTCATTTTATTTCTTTATACAGATATGCATGTATTGAAGAATTAAGAAATTACCATCTTCCATCATTATCTAAACTTAAAAAAAAACCAACTCTGTATAACTGATCATGAGGTGCAAAAGTGAGTTCACCGTATATTTTTCAGTTAAGCCATTCCCAGCTGAAAATCATTTAGAAATTTTCTTGAGTGATTGAAAGACAAAAAGTAACATGTGTACCCATATGTTGGCAAGGATACTAAGAACCCAGGCTACAGTGAACATGGCAGGTCCTTCATTGTATCCTTATGTTGGCAAGGATACTAAGAACCCAGGCTACAGTGAACATGGCAGGTCCTTCATTGTATCCTTATGTTGGCAAGGATACTAAGAACCCAGGCTACAGTGAACATGGCAGGTCCTTCATTGTATCCTTATGTTGGCAAGGATACTAAGAACCCAGGCTACAGTGAACATGGCAGGTCCTTCATTGTATCCTTATGTTGGCAAGGATACTAAGAACCCAGGCTACAGTGAACATGGCAGGTCCTTCATTGTATCCTTATGTTGGCAAGGATACTAAGAACCCAGGCTACAGTGAACATGGCAGGTCCTTCATTGTATCCTTATGTTGGCAAGGATACTAAGAACCCAGGCTACAGTGAACATGGCAGGTCCTTCATTGTATCCTTATGTTGGCAAGGATACTAAGAACCCAGGCTACAGTGAACATGGCAGGTCCTTCATTGTATCCTTATGTTGGCAAGGATACTAAGAACCCAGGCTACAGTGAACATGGCAGGTCCTTCATTGTATCCTTATGTTGGCAAGGATACTAAGAACCCAGGCTACAGTGAACATGGCAGGTCCTTCATTGTATCCATATGTTGGCAAGGATACTAAGAACCCAGGCTACAGTGAACATGGCAGGTCCTTCATTGTACCCATATGTTGGCAAGGATACTAAGAACCCAGGCTACAGTGAACATGGCAGGTCCTTCATTGTATCCTTATGTTGATCTATATGATTTGTACAATTATAGGAATTCAGGCTACGGTGTACATGTATATGACAGGTCCTTCCTTTATACCCATATGTTGGCAAGGATAAAGGACCCCTTCCTACAATGTACATGTATAAGGAGGTCCTTTGTGTACACCCATATGTTCATTGTCAAAGATAGGAACCCTTGCTACAATGTACATGTATAAGGCAAGTCCTTTGTGTAAGTACACCAATATAGTGCCAAAGATAGGAACCCAAGCTACATTTTACATGTATTAGGCAGGTCCTTTGTTTATATCCATATGCTGCCCAAGATAGGATTATGAAATCAGATTATATTGTAAGTCTGTCCCTGAACTAAATACTTATTGCCAAGGAAGGAAATTCAAACTACATTTCAAAGTGATTAAAGAAGAGGTTCCTTTTACCAGTGTTTTTCCCAGTCTGCCTTTTAGCGTCATGTTAATGTCTGAAAGGATTTTCTTATAGATTGTGTAGTATGTGTGATGCTATAGTTCTAGAAGAAAGATAGATGGTATTTCAGAATTCCCTGTTTACCAAGATGCTATATTAAATTTGTGAGAAGAACACTGGTTTTACAAATTTAATGGATTTACAATTTTCAATGGATTTACACCTTTCAATGGATTTACACCTTTCAATGGATTTATGTCTATGCAACAGCAATCCTCTTAACAACACCATAGAAAATAAAAAAAAAAAAACCAAAAAAAAACATTTACAGGTTAAAAAATGGTTAAGGGGGGCTAGTATGTGGTTCATGTAAAATAACAAATAAATTGCTTGTGTAGAAAAGATGCCATGTACTACAAACATTTTGGATTTGGGAAAAATATTTATGTTTTCGACTAAGGATGGTGAATTTGAAAAATTCATGTAAATAAAACCATATGGTCAATCCGAATAGATTAAAGGCATTTAGTGTATTTGCATGGTGAAATTCAGTTCATTAATAGTTCAATAATTGTTAATCTACTCTTCAAATGTTGGCAACTAGAGTAAAAGCTGAAATAAAATATTCTATAGAAATTGTATTTGAAGTCTTTATTGGAAAATTAACTGAATCCCAATGAAAACAAATTCTGATATTAAAACAAATGTAGTTCTGCCATGCTTTTACACTTAGAAACTGCCAATCGATTGGTTGTGAACAAAGATCATGGAATTGTAACGAGAACAAAATTCATTTTGTTAATTGACTTAAAGGATGAAAGTTAGCTCAACAAATTTAAGCTTTGACATTGACGTCTGTTGATTAGCGCTGTTCTACAGAGTGTGTGTTGGTGCCAGAATCTGTCATGGATCGGCTGTAGTTTTGTGTTCCTGTTGATTATTGATGTCAGACTGTTCATAATAAAACCCTGGCCTGTAATGGTTAAACTAATTTCCTAATGTATCAATGATTAGGGCAGCTTTTGATATTTAATTTAAATTTTGTCAGAAGGGTGCATGTTTCATAATAGTATGGGTGTTAGGGTACAATTCTAAATCAGTTGAGCATGGCTGCCACACGCTAAGCTCATCCTACACTTCTAAAATTAATCTAACTCCATTGTTAAAAACCTTTACTTGTAATAAAAGTTCAGTAAATAAGAGATGATTTATTCATAGCCTTTATTATATTAATTTGTTAAGTATTGAATGAGGATGATATATTTTATAGGATTATTGGTAATTAAATATTTAAAGCATGAGAAGATCAAATAAACAGATTTATTTATATTTTCTATTGCCTGTGAGATATATTGTTCAGTTCTATATGGCATATTTAAATAAAAAAAAATATCAGATAAGAATGTGAGGGAAAATCTGTAAATAGCTTGAATGTATGGGGATACATGTATTATGCAATAATTGCTGATTTTTTTTTCACGACAAAATTTGGTTTAGTATAAAATATTTAGTCATTACTGGATCAAACAGTTTGTACTTTATGTTCCTCATGTATCATCTGATTATCCTATTTTTTCTGTTGTAAATTTTGTCCAGTGAAAAGTTACTTTTTACTGAACCAAGCACAATAGTTTGTAAGTCTAATAGTACATAATACATCATAAGATGTACATGGTAAGTCTACACCAAGTCAGGATATCTGGACCATGTTATTTTCTGTCCAATACTTTAAGTAATTCCTTTTTATGTGTAATACATTGTAACTTGAATGTATTTCTTCACAATTCATAACAGGTCTGGTGACTTTATGGTTGATGACCTCAACAAGACTAAATTGTTTATCATTATTAATATATTTAAATATAAAAAAGCAGAAAAAAATGACCCAAAGAAAATAGTTTTTTGCTACAAAAATACAGGATACATGACAAGGACATTCTTTCAAATGCTTTTTCTTTATTTTTTAGATTTGAAAGATAAACTTTGGTGTTTCCATTTCATTTTTTGTGCCTGAACTTTGGTTTCTTATAAATTTATAAGTTACTTGAATGTATTTCTATATTAAGCCATTTATTCTATCTTATGAATGATCTAAATTTTCATCAATTAATTTGTCAATGTCAGATTAATAATTAAATTAAAATTTACTTTTTATTTGAATGAAAATATCCTTAAAAATTGCTTTCTGAAATTCTCATACAGTAATAAAATACACTTGTTAAACAATTACTGTCATTTTGTATTTTAATGAATGAAATGTATGAAGCACAGATGATTTAAATTTTAATTTTATAGCATCCTACAAAGGCCAGTATTAAGTTTTAATTTTATAGCATCCAACCAAGGCCAGTAAGATTTGATTTTATAGCATCCGACCAAGGCCAGTAAGATATAATTTTATAGCATCCTACAAAGGCCAGTAAGATTTAATTTTATAGCATCTGACCAAGGCCAGTAAGATTTAATTTAATAGCATCCTACAAAGGCCAGTAAGATTTAATTTTATAGCATCCGACAAAGGCCAGTAAGTTTTAATTTTATAGCATCTTACAAAGGCCAGTAAGATTTAATTTTATAGCATCCGACCAAGGCCAGTAAGATTTAATTTTATAGCATCTGACCAAGGCCAGTTAGATTTAATTTTATAGCATCTGACCAAAGCCAGTAAGATTTAATTTTATAGCATCCTACAAACTAACAAAGGCCAGTAAGATTTAATTTTATAGCATCCTACAAAGGCCCAGTAAGATTTAATTTTATAGGAATCTTCCAAAGGCCAGTAAGATTTAATTTTATAGCATCTGACCAAGGCCAGTAAGATTTAATTTTATAGCATCCTACAAACTAACAAAGGCCAGTAAGATTTAATTTTATAGCATCCTACAAAGGCCAGTAAGTTTTAATTTTATAGCATCTGACCAAGGCCAGTAAGATTTAATTTTATAGCATCTGACCAAGGCCAGTAAGATTTAATTTTATAGCATCCTACAAACTAACAAAGGCCAGTAAGATTTAATTTTATAGCATCCTACAAGTGCCAGTAAGTTTTAATTTTATAGCATCCTACAAGTGCCAGTAAGTTTTAATTTTATAGCTTCTGACCAAGGCCAGTAAGATTTAATTTTATAGCATCTGACCAAGACCAGTAAGATTTAATTTTATAGCATCCTACAAAGGCCAGTAAGATTTAATTTTATAGCACCTGACCAAGGCCAGTAAGTTTTAATTTTATAGCATCTGACCAATGCCAGTAAGATTTAATTTTATAGCATCTGACCAAGACCAGTAAGATTTAATTTTATAGCATCCTACAAAGGCCAGTAAGATTTAATTTATAGCATCTGACCAAGGCCAGTAAGATTTAATTTTATAGCATCTGACCAAGGCTAGTAAGATTTAATTTTATTAATAAAAATTAAACGAAAAATAATGTTTTACAGTTTACAAGTTTGCAAAAGAATAAGGTGAATGCTTATGATTAATTTGTTAGTGATGGCAATATGCATGTGTTTTTTGTGTGAATATCACAATTTTTTTACCAGACTAACAGCCCTTACTAACTTAAAAAATGTGCATATGAGCCAAAATGCTCCTTAGTTAATTGGACAGTTTAAGTGAGTAGCTGTTTGGCCCAGTTCTGTGAAGAGGAAGCATAAACTAGAATTTTTGTGGTTGTTTGACAGCTGTATCATTGCTGTTAATGATTCTTTATTTTGGCACAATTAGTAGAGATGATCATTTACAAGTACATATTACATCAACCTTAGTAAAATACAAACAGAACCATCTGTTGATTGTCAACATTCTTATATAACTCAATGTTATCTTATTAATTCAGGCATTCCTTTGGCTTCCCACTGTTTATTCCCGCTGATTGAAGAAGTAATACCATTAATGCTTTCATAGAAGTTAAAGAGGAGACAAAAATAACAAATAGTAGAAAGTTAATTTGTAGCTCTCAAATTAAATTTGTACTCATATTTGGCATTTAAATCAAAGTAAAGTCTTTCAGCATTTGCTTCATTATATAATGACCTATTTAGGTTTTGTCGGGCACAAGCAAGTCCTTAAAAGGCTGCAGATGCTGCAATTTTTATGTATTACATGTTTTCATTAGATTCTGTTTGTCATCAAATTCATAGTTCACATGTAATAACTTGAGGTTTTGCTTAGAGCAATCCCATCATAATGAAATCATTGTCGATGACTTTGCATCAAAGTAATCACATTGCATCAAAGCGAATTTGGAATGCGTAGAAAAAGATATAGTTCCATGTATTTTCTACTTTATTTCCATTAAAAAGCCTACGGTCAATGAAATAAAATGAATAGCTAATCAAAGTATTCAAATGTTGAAAATGTTCAACTAGTGACTAAACAACACATAAAGTAAATAAAGAGCTGCTGAACCAACGCCTCCTATGTTTTGTGCTGGTAGAGTTCCCTTAAGTGGATACCAGATAGTATGCAGGGTTGTCAAATAGCGGTATTTAACGCTGATACATGTAATAAACTCATGTGCTACATGCATAATAATGCAGCATTTGTGAATTAATTTGTTGTTCAGTCACTCATTGAATATTTTTAGATATTTGAATTCTTCAATTAGTTATTCTATAATTCTCAGTCAGTTGCCTTGAAACTTGAAATTTCAGTCACTAAGGAAATCTTTAGGGTTAATTTTATGGTTATCTGTGCAAAAACCTGTATTTGGTTGAGTCCACGTCAGTCTACAGAATCGAGCACCTGTTTCTTTAGTTTTTCCCATGCGCTCCTAATTCTTCAAATGACTTTATCAAACAGAGTATCTTATCTTCCGTAAAACAGTATGTTTCTTATTTATACATGTACTGATGAGCCCTATGTCACAATGAACCTACAAGCATCTGTTCTCCTTCACACTTTACATGATGCCCTTGTTCCTCTTGTCAAATCTAGAAAATTGCAAGTTTTACATTGATTTATTTCTTCTTTGGACCACACTTTTCTTGTATGTAAAAAGTATGTCCAATAACAACAAAATTTCATTGCAAAGTCTTTGTGTATCTTTGTTTAACTGATAACTAGACTAAAATGAGAAAAGTTTTTTTTTCAATACTCCATTAATTTGTACCAGTAAGTCACTTCTATAATACTGTAGGTAAACAAAAATCAATTACATATTAATCTATTTCACTCTTATACAATATGTATATTTCAGAAGTAGTATCTGATACAAGCAGAACTGACTTAGATATAATTATCAATTTCCTCTTCAATCTTATCAATTCTCAAAATTATGATCATTTTATTTTCAACAGGATGCGCATCTTCAGACTTCATTAGAAAATAGGAAGCTGGAAAGTAGAGTTTTGTCTTGTGATAAGAATTTCTATAGATCTGATTCCATTTACCTAATCATGTTTATAGGTGCAATATCAAATAAAAATGAAAACAAAACAAAAAACCAAACCAAATCAAAAAGAGAAAATGCCTGATAAAATAACTTTGAATTGTAAATATACTATGTATTTGATGATTTTGTATGGTATACACCTCATGCATAATAAGAAGTCCCCCCCCCCCCCCACCAGCCCTTGTCCACTCATAAGTATGGTAGGTACATATATACCAAACTGTGTGTCTTAAAGTTTATTCTTGTTACAGTCTTCTTAGCCTAAGGTGGATACCCTTGAAAAATTATATTTTGCATATATCGTGACCTACTCATCGACTGATGGTATGGGCACATAATGGTGGGAGGTACAGTTTTTTGTGTTCTGTGCAGAGAGTATGCTATTTTACAGATTTTTTAGATCAATACTATTTTATTACAACATTATTATGTGCGTGTAGGTCTTGCTGTTCTCAGATGATATCATCTCTACATTATACTTTTATCTTGACTGTATTATTCATACTATAACATTATTGTTTGATATATAAATTGTAACACTGTTTAACACATACTTGAACATTGTTTGCAAGATTGGTAAGATATTATTCACTGTGAAATAATGTATGGTATTTTAATTTAACAGTCCATTAAGAGTTCTATTCTTGTTTTTATTTGACATGATAGTGTATAGGGAAAGTTGGTTGATTTTTGATGATCTACATTAATGGCAGAGTTTTTGTTTGAACTTGTGTGTAAATGTCAGCCATGTTTAGATAGATGATGGGGTAATCCCTCATCACACCAAGGTAATCATTTTACTATAAACTGAATACCTGGCATTTTATCTCTGTATCCCACAGAATCTATTGTTTTTTTCTTGTATAGTTACAAATGTATTAGATTAAAAGATGGGGAAAAAGAAATAAGATTCACCTGCAGGCTTCTGGAGATCAGACAATTACATGATGAGACAAAGTGGTGTTTCATGTCTTGAAGAAGTCTGTTGTATATGAATCAGAATTTCCTTTCAGTCCATTGGATATTTTTTGAAACAGGTGCTTAGGAAACTGACTTGGTGAACTTATGTTAATGTGCTCACCTTCAGTGTGGGAGGTTGTGGGTTTTATCCCCAGCCAGGTCAAACCAATTATTAAACTGCCTTAGTGGGCATGTGGCAATATGCTCAGCTCCAGTGTGGGAGGTTGTGGGTTTTATCCCCAGCCAGGTCAAACCAATCATGAAACTGCCTTAGTGGGCATGTGGCAATATGCTCAGCTCCAGTGTGGGAGGTTGTGGGTTTTATCCCCAGCCAGGTCAAACCAATCATGAAACTGCCTTAGTGGGCATGTGGCAATATGCCCAGCTCCAGTGTGGGAGGTTGTAGGTTCAATCCCTATAGCCAGGTCAAACCAATGAATAAAGTGTTTAAGGGAAATTTTCAAGCCAGTTATAATCCTTTGTTTTATATTTGTAACTAAATAAAGCACATATTTTATATTGTGATTACATCTGAACATCAGGGCTCCAAAATTTTATTTGTGCAACTTCATTTAGAACTTATTGGACTGAGTCATGGATTATGAGGAAAGCATTATGTGTAAACATATTTTGATTTTTGAAAAAAATATTTGAATCTCTCTACATGCTTACTGTAAGCAGCAGTTCTAATTAAATTATTTTGGAATTTCCTATTTATTTATAAAAGTGCTGTTGACTCTAAAAGAAATTTAAGTCTGGTATATGGTATAACCCTAACCCTAAGAAAAATTATTGTTTTTGCTTGTTGTGATGTTGTGTTGCCATCTCATTGATATTTGCAAAAAATCTCTTTCTATTCAAATAAGTAAGAAATACAAGAAATTAAAACTTGTGTCAGTCATGTCAAAGACATAAAACCTTTAAGAACATATCATTTTCTAACATGTTTTGCACATGTATGTCAGATTCTAAAATATAAATCTGAACAAATTTGATGAGGGCATGACTTTTCTATATTGTTTTTACCTATTTTAGAAAAGATTACTAAACATTAGTCATTTTATTTGATACTTTAAGTAGACCTTTTGACAGCTATTTTAGTAAGTGTATGCATTTTGTTTATCAATTTAAAAAATAATACACCCATTGTTTAAACAGTCATGAAACTTCTTCATTTTGCACTTTAAAATCAAGTTTGACTCAGTGAAAAAATTGTGCAAAATTGTCAAACAATTTCTGTACAAATTTTGCTTAAATTTTGTCATTTTGAATTGATATGAAGAAAGTTATTGTAAATTTGATTTGCAATTGTATTCTGGATTAAAGTTTTCATTCTATTATATTTGCAAATATTTAAAAGTTGTACATGCAGTAGTTTTTTTCCCGCTCAGTTCTTTTCACAAGTCCAAAATCAAATACAATTTAAACATTTATAAATTTGATTCTTTGAGAAAGTGATTATCCACACTTGGGTATATAAACACACATGGGTGTAATCCTTTGCATAAACACTTATATGTTTAATAGTTTTCTTGGTGATAAACATATAGGATGCAAACATTCCAAAACATTACACTGGCCATTGAGCAACAACAATCATTCAATAGAAAAAAAAACATACTTGTAATATAGATTAGGTGTTATTGACATAGTTAAATTTACTGGTACCTTTAACATTTAAATGGAGACCAGATCAGCTTCAATCACTTTAATACCTCATGAATCTGAATATTCCTCTTTTTCGAGATTAGCTTTCTTGAGAATGAGCTACATGAAATGTTCTCAGCTTAAACACCAAATATACTGTCTGAAAAACTTTCATGTAAAAAAATGTTGTATATTGTATATGTAGATTTATTTAGACAGCAAGTTCTATATTGTATATGTAGATTTATTTAGACAGCAAGTTATCATTGTTATGTAGAAGATATATAAAGTATGTCTGGTTTTATATTTTTTGTAGGTACATTGGTTAGAACAGCAAGTTGTAAAGAAGAGGGTAAAAAGAGACATTTATTTTCCACATAACTATGAGTTCAATGATCCAAAGTGGTCCAGAATGTGGTACTTGGTAGGTATAGTTGTTATAAACATTTTGGTTGGTTTTTGGGGGTGGAGGCTTGTATTTAAATACCAATAGTATACTTATGTTTTAGTATGATGATGTCAATCAGGCAGGCAGGCTGTTTTGAAAATTAAAAAAATGTATAACTTAAAATAGGTGGTAATTCTTCTGATTTCATTTTACAATGCACAAGTTTTTTTTAAACCTTTCCCTTGTATACCATACTAGCAAATTAGGTAATTTTGAACATTCTGCTGCTAAAAATCAAGATCAATGACATATATATACATTTTATTATAATATTTTAAAAGGCTTAATAAAACTACTTTTTGGGGAAAATATGAAGAAAAAAAAATGATCAAAGTTAGCTTAAGAGCCCAGAATTACCTTAATGGGATTGTGTTAGATGATCTTGCATCATTTGACATTTAAGTAAGTAACACACAAATTACAATTCATTGTTTGTCAATGCAATCAGTTCATTATGTTATGACAGAATAGTCAAAACCAGTAACAAATGTATTGGCCATAATTCCTGTCTTATGACACTTTCTGATTTGATCAAACCCTTGCCCTCAGAAACATGTCTTACAGGTGGTAGATTGTGTCTAAACCAAGAATGGACCTTTCAGACACACAATTTGTATCTGATAATTTCTTCTTAAACCAAGAATGACCTTTGAGACACACAGTCTATGCGTAGTTGATTATGCTGACAAGTGTAGAATAAAGCTGAGAATGGTAGACAGTTTACATCATAACATTTAGCATGTTATAGTCCTCAGTAGAGTTCATACAAAGATTAAGGTCCTAGTCAGCTATAACTGTCTCAATTATTCAGTCTTAATGAAGTTCTTTTTTCTAATTAGCAGGTTTACCATATGTTAATACATGTATTGAATAAGTTTATGGTGTCATGTGTTGATATTTATAGATTGGTACTGTCTTATCTTGTCAGTTGGTACTTAGTCAGATTTCTACTACCAGGTACTTTCTAGTACTGATAAGTATCCTTATAAATTTGGTTACAACAAGCATAAATGAACTCCACTTCATTGATGTTTAGATCTGTCACAAAAAGTCAAATTCTGGCCTTAGGCAGGCAATTAAATGGCTTTTTTCATGTTATTTTCAGAAGGATATAAATGTTTGATATGCCAATAATGATTACAGTAGCTAGATATATAGGGGAAATTTTCTTTTGGATTTTAAAAGAAACCAGCAACTTTTAATTATAGCAATTAATTCTGATTCATAATAGCAAAGAAACAAATCTGCCGTAAGAAGTGCATATCTGTGGTGTTTTCTCTATTTCATTGATAAAAGATCATTATGAAATGAACATTATTATGAAAATATTGCGTAAAACACCTGTATCTCAGCAGCTGATAGCTGATAGTTCTTTACACTCAGAACTTTATCAGAAGAGCCAATATTACTGACTCTGATAACGATTCAACTTTGAAATCATTTGAACCAGATTAAATCATTTGAACTGTGGTAATAAGAATCTGACAGCCAGGGTTCATATGGTGCCTGACGTCATAATGTTCAGTCAAATTACAACTTTTAACAAGTTAATATTTTTTATGAAGGATAATGGATAAGATAAAATATAACTTCCTTTTTATAAAGATCAATATAAAACAAATGAATCTGACCTTAGATATTCAGGTTCTAAAGACATATTTATGAAGAAACTAAAATCAAGGTTTCATCGACTTGAAAAACATCTCTGAAATGAAATTTTATTTAAGAAACATGAAGTTGAAAGCGTAAAGTACACATCTGGCTGTTAGTTAATTACATGTGTATTTTTACTGAGTTGGAGGTTAATGAACACTTAACCTGAAGCAGTATATAAACTATAGATAATTTGTATCTTATACATAGGTATTGATTAGGGAAAACAGCTCCATAGCAGCTTGACAAATTACATCTCAACAATTGTTCCCAGTCACTATTTACTATTTTCTTTGGCTTTGGTCTGGCCATGTTTTATCTACTGTTGAGATTGTAAGGTGCACATGTCCAACTGGCAGGTGTCATTTGACCTTGACCTCATTTTTATGGTTCAGTGGTTAAAGTAAAGTTTTTGTGTTTTGGTCCGTTTTTCTAATACTGTATTCAATAGGTCAACTATATTTGGTGTATGAAAATATTTATAGATGTACATGTCAGTCTGGCAAGTTTTATTTGACCTTGACCTCATTTTTACGGTTCATTGTTCAATGTTAAGTTTTTGTTTTTTGGTCTGTTTTTTTAATACTATAAGCAATAGGTCAACTATATTTGGTGTATTGAATGATTGTAAGGTGTATATGTCTGTCTGGCAATTATCATCTGACCTTGACCTCATTTTCATGGTTCATTTGTCAATCTTAAGTTTTCCTGGTGAAGTTTGTTTCTTAGATTCTATATGCAATAGGTCAACTATATTTAATTCATAGATTGACTGTAAGGTGTACATGTCTGTCTGGCATGGTTCATCTGACCTTGAACCTATTTCATATAGAATCTAAGACCATTGATAATGGTTCATTGATCAATGTCAAGTTTTCCTGATTAATTTTGTTTCTCAGATACTATGTGTAATAGGTCAACTATATTTAAAGCATATTTGGTGGATGGAATGATTGTAAGGTCTACATGTATTTGCAGTTTGGTTTATCTGACCTTGGCCTCATTTTCTTGGATCATGTTAAGTTTATGTGATAGTTGTAGTAAAGCTTTATATTTAGGATTATCAACAAAAAATCAATGGTCAGTAAAGAAGGCGAGACATTTCAGTGTGTGCACTCTTGTTGTACTCATTGATGGTTACTGGTAAATGTTGATGATTTTTCATGGTTTCTGGTTATTGTTGATGATTTCTCCTAGTTTCAGGTTATTGTTGATGATTTCTCATGTTTTGTTGGTCATTATTAATGGTTTCTGGTCATTGTTGATGATTTCTCATGGTTTTATGTTCATGTGGAAGATTTCTCATAGTTTCTGACTAATGTTGATTTCTCATGGTTTCAGGTTATGGTTGATGATTTCTCATGATTTTTGGGTCATTATTGATGGTTTCATGTCATTGTTGATGATTTCTCATGGATTGTGGTTCATGTTGATGATTCTCAAGGTTTCTGATTAACTTCTCATGGTTTCTGATTCTTGTTGATTTCTCATGGTTTCAGGTTGATGTTAATGATTTCTCATGGTTTCTTGCTAATGTTGATTTCTCATGGTTTCTTGCTAATGTTGATTTCTCATGGTTTCAGGTAAGTGTTGATGATTTCTCATGTTTTCAGGATAAAGTTGATGATTTTTCATGGTTTCAAGTTATTGTTCATGATATCTCATGGTTTCAGGTTAATGTTGATAGTTTCTGATTTATGTTGATTTCCCATGGTTTTGGGTTATGGTTGGTGATTTCTCATGTTTTCAGGTTATTGGTGATTTCTCATGGTTTATTGGTCATTATTGATGGTTTCTGGTCATTGTTGATGATGTTCATGGTTTCTGGTTTATGTTGATGATTTTTCTTGGTTTCGGGATAATGTTGATGATTTCTCATGTTTTTCTGTTCAATGTTGCTGAATTCTCCAGGTTCCTGATTACTGTTGATTTCTCATGTTTTCTTATTTATGTTTGATTTCTCATGGTTTCTAATTTATGTTGATTTTTCATGTTTTCTAGTCGTTGATGATTTCTCATGGTTTTTAGTTTATGTTGATGATTTCTCTAGGTTCTGATTAATGTTCATTTCTCATGATATTTGATTAATGTTGATTTCTCATGATTTCTGATTAATGTTGATTTCTCATGGTTTCTGATTAATGTTGATTTCCCATGGTTCCTGATTAATGTTGATTTATTATGGTTTCTAATTTATGTTTGATTTCTCTTGGTTTCTGATTTATGTAGATTTCTAATGTTTTCTAGTCATTGTTGATGATTTCTCATGCTTTCTAGTCTTTGTTGATGATTTTCATTGTTTCTTGTTCATGTTGATGTTTTCTCATGGTTTCAGGATAATTTTGATGATTTCTCATGTTTTCTGATTACTGTTGATATCTCATGTTTTCTGATCAATGTTTCTGATTTCTCCTGGTTCATGATTACTGTTGACTTCTCATGGTTTCTGATTTATGTTTGATTTCTCACTGTTTCTAAATTATGTTGATTTCTCATGTTTTCTAGTCATTGTTGATGATTTCTCATGTTTTCTAGTCTTTGTTGATGATTTTCATTGTTTCTTGCTCATGTTGATGATTTCTCATGTTTTCTGATTACTGTTGATTTCTCATGTTTTCTGATCAATGTTTCTGATTTCTCCTGGTTCATGATTACTGTTGACTTCTCATGGTTTCTGATTTATGTTAGATTTCTCACGGTTTCTGACTTATGTTGATTTCTCATGTTTTCAGTCGTTGTTGATGATTTCTCATGTTTTTTGGTTTATGTGGATGATTTCTCTAGGTTCTGATTAATGTTGATTTCTCATGGTTTATGATTAATGTTGATTTCCCATTGTTCCTGATTAATGTTGATTTCTCATGGTTTTTGATTTATGTTTGATTTCTAATGGTTTCTGATTTATGTTGATTTCTCATGTTTTCTAGTCATTGTTGATGATTTCTCATGTTTTTTAGTCTTTGCTGATGATTTCTCATGATTTCTTGTTAATGTTCATTTCTCATAGTGTCTGATTAATGTTGATTTCTCATGGTTTCTGATTGATGTGATTTCTCATGGTTTCTGATTTATGTTGATTTCTCATGGTTTCTGATTATTGTTCATTTCTCATGGTTTCTGATTAATGTCGATTTCTCATGGTTTCTGATTAATGTTGAATTCTTATGGTTTCTGATTAATGTTGATTCCTCATGGTTTCTGGTAAAATTTTATGATTTCTCAAGAGTTGCTGACAGCTTCTCATAATGTTATTCTTTGTACTGATTTTTGTCTACTTGTCAGAAATCAGTGTATAGTATTGTCAGAAAATTATGTATAATATT